CATGAGACTATTAGACTGAGCAAAATTCCAGTTTTGCATTTGAAGCTTCTTCATATCACTTATCAATCTCTGCAATTCAGCTCCACTCCTTTCTATCACTATTCAAACCAAATCAAGAAAAAAACAATTTCTCCCAATAAAACAAAAATCAACCACTTCCTGAAAATTTAACAAGTTTTTCACTTCCATAAACCACAATCAAATTCAAATCTACCATAATTTCAATTTAAAAACCAAAATCGTCAAAAAAACCTAATTATTATCATGATTATGAGAATTTAAACTAAATGATACTTTCTGCCTGCAAAGAGGTTGATCAATTTCGCTCTTTCCTGTATTATAATTCAACAGCAGAAAAATTATAAACGATTAAAAATAAACCTGAAGAAGAAAAGTAAGAGTAATTTAGGTTACCTTTAAGAGTTGTTGAATGCAATTATTATCAATAATGAGTGCATGGTTATTGTTTTCTTTTGCATTTTGGGATTTCTTGTTTGCATTGTTGATGTTGTTGTTGCAGAGAGTGTAAGAAAAATGAACGATTCTGTTCGGTATGGTGTTGGGTGGAAAGGACGTAAAAGGCAATTCGCTGGCAAAATTAATATAACAGTTTAGTACATATACAATTTCTTGGCAATGACAACAAACAAACATGCATTGACCAAGTGTAAAAGAAAGCGCTCACAATCCCTTATGTTCTCAGTTTGATCTCAAATTGTTCTTATAATTATGAATTTATTAATCAAACTATTGAATATTAATGAAAACATAAAATTATTGATCAAAATATTTAATATTAACAATAATAATAGAATAACTTTATTATTGATTTAAATATTTTTATATATTAAAAAAATTATAGGTATTGATTTATTATCTCTTTTAAAAAAAATTTATTTTATTTTTAGTATATTTTAAAAATAAATGAGCGTCTCATATTGATACCCACTAATTTTTCAAGAAATTTTGTATTTAATGAATGATAAGTCACTGCATTTCTAATAAATAATTAATAATTTCGTTCATTACAATCCAAGAAAATTTGATTGAGCTTTACAATCAAAGAAAATTTGGAATTTTTTTTACCACAATATAAGTCATTCTATAATTCTGATAAATAATTAATGATAATTTTTCTGTTATATCCTTAAATATTAATTATTTTCTCTCTTTTCAATTATGTAAATTTATCTTCCACATGTTATTAATTAATGATAATTTTGTAAAAATATTTATAATTTTTCATTTTCATACAAGAATCATTATTTTCTTAATATGTGTGAGAAGTCCAAAATAACTTATAATAAAAAAAATGGTTGTAGTAACCAATAAAAATGATGACTAGTCTTCTATTAACATTCAATACCACTCTTAGTGTATGTTCGCCAAAGAATTCACACAACTGTTTCCTTCTCTAAAAATATGTGAAGCAACAAAAGACAAATATTTAACCATATTAATACAACTTATCCATCTCACACGAATTTCCCAAGGCACTTAAAAAGTAGGAGTAAAAACACGAATCACAGCAAAAAAAATCATATTCTAACCAAATCTTGTTCCGACTCTTCTCATTGGAGAATTCAATAGCTAGCGTAACATCGATGAGTTCGACAATGAGAGAGTTGGATATACCAATGAAACTTGCATAGGCTCCAAGAAACCTTCCATCGAAATCTCTGGCAATACAAGCACACGCAAAGGAACCAAGATTATGTAAGGAGGCACTGGTGTAGTTAATTTTAATCCAGTTTCATGGGAGAGACTTCCAAATAACTTCCAAAATCTTAGGAGCACAAGGAGGCTGAATAGTGACCCTAAAGTTCTTCAGAACAACAAAGTCATGAATATTAAGGTAAGACGGGGTTTAAAATTATTACCGGTCAACCCACATACCGAAACAATACCGATAATAGTAGAAGACGAGGAAATACACACATTTTGGAATCTAAATTTGTTGTGAGCAAACCAAATAGCATTGAGAAGATGAATAACCACAACATTGAAAATAAGCTTACACTGTTTCGACCCATTCCGCTTGCAAACCACCCAAATATCTTCCCAAACTGAAATCTTGGAATTAATATTCAGAGGTTTTCGCAATAGATTCCAAATAACTCTAGAAAAAGGACACTCAAAGAAAAGGTGCAATGATGATTCCTCGACTGTCGAACACATACAACAAATGGACGGGAAAACAAAACTTCTACTCATAAGAATGTCGTCCGTAGGAATCTTATGAAGCAACAATCTCTAAACCATAAACGATTTAGAAGGAGGAATATATTTCGTCCAAACCCACCTACCCCAATCCAGACAAACACCCAGGCTTCTTTTGAAATTGTAGGCCGCTTTAAGATGCAGATCCCTTGAGGTAGTGTGGTTCCAAGTACAATTATCAGGACGAAGATCAAACGGAATGTAGTCCAATCAAAATTTTAGATGATAGTAGGGAATGACATGACAAGCGAGAAACATAGGATCAAGGAATCCCTTCCAAATTTATAGATAAAATAAGTCGTTAGGTACTGGAGTTTCCTTCCTGCATACGTCAAGGAAACCTGTCATGCATACAAAAGTCTGAGAGTTATTATCACAAGTCCTTAATATAAGAAAAAAATAATTTTTTAGATTTATTAAATAATTAATGTATTTAGACTATATATAATCCAAATACATTTATCTTTCAATGAACCTAAAAAGTCATTTTTTCTTACATTAAGGATAAGATGAGTATTAATACATTAATTATAAAAAAATTGTATTTATTTTAATTTTAAAAATGTAATTTTTATTCGTTATGATTTTAATTAATTTAATGAATTAATTATCAAAGAATTTATATTTAATTTAATATTTAAATTTTAAATTTTACTCATTGTGATTTTAATTAATTTGTGAATAATATATAGAATTAGTACATATTTAAAATAAATTTATTATTAATTTTTTAATTTAGAGGTTCTTGTATTTTGAAATAGGGAAAGGAGTTAATTATGTTTTGAATAAATAACATATAACGACTATATTCATACACTTGTGATAAAATTTAAAATTAATAATTTGAAGATAAATATATTTATTATCTAAGTTTTGGCAACAAATAAAAAACTGTATTAAAGGATAATTAATTTTATATATTTATAATTTTCCTTCAAAAATATTTATACATATTTTTTAATATTTTAAAAATGAACTGTCCCTTATTTTGTTGTCCTTGGTGTGAAATAATTTTTTTAAGTAATTTCGACTTTGCTTTTGTGTTGAGATTCGCAAGTATAATGCAAGGAAATCGTCCAAGTTCAACACGCACGTCACTTTAGCAAACATTATTAATCTTAGATTTTTTTATGAGTTAAACATCATTCTTTTGCGAGATTGATAAAAAATTGTTAAATAAATATTATGAACAATGCAAATTATTTCAAAATATTTTGCTCGTAATGTTTTTGAAAAATATTTAGTTTCAAATAAGAATTAAAAAAAAAAAAGTACAACTATTTAGATTGCACTTAAATTAACTTGTTTTAGAAATATAAAATAGGTTATTGGAAAATCAAGTTTACATTAATAAAATAGCATCTCAGGCGCAATATAATTAGTTTGGTTTGGAAGTGAATTCATATTTATTCTTCTGATTTTGTTGTTTCTTTGTTAGATTGAGAACCGAACCCACTCATTTGACTTGATATTTAAGAGTGTATTGGATTGTCAGCTGCATTTTCTTTGGTTTTGATAGGTGTTCGGAGTTTTCTTCCTTCGGCTTATTCTCTCCGGTGATATGTTGTGTTGTGACTTTACTTTGTATCAGAGTAGTAGATAGCGTTTGGGTTGTTCTTCCTTCTCCTATTTCTGTTTTTATGCCGACGTTTGGTTATTTCTATTTTTCTCCGACCTTTGTTTTTAACCGATTTTGTTAATTTCCTAAGCACATCTTATGCTTTTTGTTGTATTATGTTCTCTCATTGTTTTTTTCTTTTCATTTAATATATTTATCTGCAATGTTATTTAAAAAAGCAAATTTGTTATCTTGACACTAAAATTTTACGGTAATACTTACATAATAAACGATATTCATCAAATTTATACGGTAAATAATATTTTTTTTAAAATAATATTATTTAAAAAAATTATTTTTAAAATTTTATTTTATAATATAAATATAAAATTGTGTTATTAACTAATTTTATAATTGTATTAACCACAAAAAAATATATGTTATTAACCACTTTCACATTTATTAATCAATAAAATATATACTATTAATCATGTTTTGATATTAAATTAAAAATTTATTAATCAACTTTTACACTCTATTAATCAATTTTATTTTACTATTCAATTTTTTTTAGAATTAATTAACCAAATTATGAATTGTATTATTAAATTTTATACATAATATTAATCGAAGTATGAACTTAATATATATTATATTTTTATGTCAGAATACATGATAATCAAATTTTAAACTGTATTAATTAAGTTTTAATATTTCATTAACCAAAATAGTTTTAGAAAAAATTAATTTAAAAAGTTAAAATAATATAAAAAATATTGTTCACATATTTGTGAATAGTGTATACAATATAATGTCATTTTTAGTGTCAAAGAAATCATTTTTCTTTTAAAAAAAATAGAGTTGCTAAAATTTACTGTTGTTTAAAATTAAAAAAATTATAATAATATTCTTGTTTAATTTTAAAAAGCCGGATAGAGTTTCTCCTCCACACGATGAAGTAGCTATATTCTAAAAACTGTCATTTTCCGCAAAAAAAAAAACAATTAGACAAAAACAGCACTGATTCATTTCAAACCCTTCCATGTTTACTAGTTTTAAAGATAAGGTTGATTAATACAGACTAGCTACCATCTCAACTAGCATGTAAAGGTTCCGTATTGATTCCTACTTCTTTCCATTATATATAGACCACTCTTTCTTACTATTTTTCTCATCCTTCACTACCAAATATCACATTTGAATTGATATTAAATTGAGTACAATGGATCCCAAAAATGCAATCCTCATCCTAGGCCTATTGGCCATGGTTCTTCTCATTTCCTCTCAGGTGTCAGCTAGGGACTTAGCTGAGACTTCCCCTAATACCGAAGAGGGTGAGCTAGCTATACATTATTTTTCATAATTTGAGATTCAAATGTATATTTTCCAGAGCACAATGTATATGAACACACGGTTGTATTTGCAGTAAATGATGCCAAATATGGTCACTATGGTGGTGGTAGTCATGGCCATGGGCACGGTGGTCATTATGGTGGAGGTGGTCATCATGGTGGACATGGAGTTGTATCCGACAACGGTAACTAATTACATCACATTCTTAATATGTATTATCTATCTTGCCAATATATGTATATAAACACACGGTTTTATTTGCAGAGGTGGTTGAAAAGTCAAATGAAGTAAATGATGCCAAATATGGACACTACGGAAGTGGACACTATGGCGGTGGTCACTATGGCGGTGGTCACTATGGAGGTGGACACTATGGTGGTGGACATTATGGTGGTGGTGGTGGACATGGTGGACACTATGGTGGTGGACATTATGGTGGTGGTGGACATGGTGGACATGGTGCTTCCGACAATGGAAACTGATTATAGCATCATACATGATGCACATTCAAAGTAATAAATTTCATGAATGAGTAACGTTTGGTGTTGAATAAAAGAGGTATAGATAGCAATCAATCTGTTCTGGTTATGTATCATCTTTGTATATGTGGTAACAAGTTTGATTTCGAATGAAAGTAATGAAGCCATGTATCATCTATGTGGTGAATGTGTTATCATTTGTAATATATCAAATATCGTGTTGTTTGTACTTTAGCTCCTTTTAAGTTTATATATCCATACTACTGAAATTTCTCTAAGAAAATTGGTCGATTAATTGACAGAAGAAGCCATGTATAATTCATAATTATAAAATCTTTGTAATAAAAAGGCATGTACAAGCCATAAACATAATCAATAAAATGAAGATAAATAAATAACCTTTAGAATGACACTGAAAGGGAACATTAACTTCAAAAAAAATTGATGAAATAAATTCTTCAAACAAATTATTGGCGGACTAGATATTCTTTAAGAAAAATTTACACAATTCTTTTCTTTCAAAAATTATTAATTTATAAATATTAGCAACTTGTTTATATTAATATATAGATATAAATAAATACTTTGGCAAAAGATTTAACCTTAGACCAACGTTTATTTCAATTTAATTTATAAATTATTTTGATTTTCAGATTTATCAAAAATTAAATTATATTAAATTTATCAAAATTAAACATATCAATATTAAACAATACTTATTTTTATTGTTTTCAAATATATTTTAGTTAACAAAAAATTAAAAATAAAAAGTTAAAATAATTGTAACTTGTCATATTCATATCACATATCAATATTATTCAATATACCACAAGAATTTTTAGTGTTCAGTAATTTAAGAGTGTGGGTATCATCAGAACTCTTATTATTTTTCACATAATAAAAAAAAAAGACTATCATCACTTTAATATTAATTTTACCTTAAAAAAATGAAAGTGATTTTTTTCTTTTATATTTTAAGACGAAAGGAGTATATATCACATTCAACACTTATCTTGAGTAAATTCTTGTCTATATAACTATAATAATGAATATTGATTTGTTAGCAAAAGATAAACTCATTCATAAAATATTATTAGTATGATTATGATTATTGCTATTAGTATTATTATTAGTATTATTAGGGTTAAATATATCATATCACTGTCAATGTAGCGTGATCCTCAAAAAAATTTGTCAGTCCAACTAGATTTTTATTTTATTTTTTATTTAAATTTTAAAAGACACGGGGAATTCTTTTATTTTCTTTTTTACAAAATAATTTTTTTATAGAATATATTTGGTATAAATTAATTTTTTTAGAGTGTATATATTGGACCATAAATTTAATAACAAGTAAAGCTGAGTTTATAAATCAGAAGGGACAAGTACGTCTTGAACAAAACTAAAGCTTACACATGGGCATAATACGTACCTATAAAATATTAAGCTCATCTAGATATACGCATATGGCTATACATGAATAACTAGAAGAAACCGAAAAGCATTCAAAAGAAATAATAAAAAGCATCATATGAGCATCATACGGGAAAGAAAGAAATTATCCAAATATTACATAATGCATCATCGAAGAATGATTAAAAAAATCATGAATCAGTGATCCTAATCACGCAAAAAGCCCTTCGAAGTCATGAGAAAAATCTACTCAGAAATATAAACTTATGAATATAACCTATCAAGTTAAAAGGACTCCAAACTAGTCGAGATCTACTGAAACTCTCAGACGTCACTTATTAAAAGTTGGAACCCTTTCTCTGGCCATGACTACGAGAAAGAAAAAAGAATAAAAAAAATCCATAAACATTATTCTTAAATAAGCCACTACCAAACATCATCTTGTCAGGAGGAAATTATTGTAAAAATTTGTCGAGTATGAGTGCAGAGAATTCAGGGGTTCTTTGTTTGAACATTTCAACCCGGTAGGTTTTGTGATCGGGAGGCTTATGTACATCCCATAATTCTTTAAGCCGATTAATACAACCAAATATTCCGATCAATGCTAAAAGGATAGAGGTCTACTAGTTGTAGGCTAGTTCTATTGGCTGATCTTGTTGTAGGTTCATGACCTAGCTGTGTGGGTCGAGTTGTCCTTGGCCTAGCTGTGTTGGCCGAGTTGTTCTTAGTCTAACTGTGTTGGCCGAGGTGTACCTTGCCTAACTGTGTTGGACAACTTGGTTGACTATCCATATAAGTCACCAAAACAGTTACAAAACTCAATAGGTGGCAGTTACAAATCATTGATGGGACATTTACACTTTGTTAATAAAGACTATTACTAAATCAATGAGAAACAGTTACAAATGTTACGAAATGGCTTAATAGCCATTAGACCAATAATTATCCTATATAAGAGGTCTTTTGAGAAGGGGAGATGAGACGATACAGACATATAGAAAACTCGGAGGAGAGGCTCCCACATGAGGGATAAGCAAGACACTCATCTTATATCAATACGCACCATTGTTGTAGCACCCAAATCCCCTAAAATATACAAAAATCTACCCTTTTGAGACTGTCATTGTTCCTACAAGAAAGTTACTTGAATAGTGTTTTTACACAAGAAGACCATTTGATAGAGAAATTGTAGTTGTACTTAGTGTTTGACTCATTGGTTTTAATAGTGTGGTTAAAACTCAACAAAAATTCATAGTATAAATTAATTAATACCAGAACAAATAACCAACTCATTTTTTGCATTACCTAGTATATTGAGGATGTGATATATTGAGGATAAATGTACAGGCACAATAACTCAAGCACGTCGCATTTAGTTTAAAGATAAATTATCTTAGAATATTCTAAATATAGTTAGACACCAAACTGGTTTAATTTGGTTGATGTAAAAGGGACTTATTTGAATTTAATTGTGAATAAACCAGTATGTTCAATATGCTATAAATATTGTAGGTTGTAGTAGAACATTAGAATCCCACATTGGTTGTTATAAAGAAAATACATGAATGGGCTTTTGGGTTCAAATCATCCTCTGAGTGAATATGTTAAAGGCCAAATGTTTTAAAAAATTAATATATATAAAGAGATGTTAGTTTTTTTTTTATCATGTGAAAAATAATAAAGGTCATTTTTTGGTTGATCACTGATTAGTCTATTGTCTTAGATAGGTATCTCCAAGTTATTTGATGTTTGTTTATCTTACTTTTGTACGGGCTATAGACTTCTGGAGTCCTTTGGGTTTTAACTGAGTTCACATCTCAGCTCATATAAAATATTCTGGAGATCTATTTGATGTATAGTATTAAGTTTTGTTTAGACGGAGATCAAAGTTACTCCGAGTACTCGAGCTTCTTGAGGTCTACCCTTTTTGTTAATTTTGATCGTAACAATTGGGTTTATAAGCCCCAAGCCTTTTGAGGTCGGGTTAATATACCCTGGTGACCAATATGATTATATCCCAGATATTGAATTTATATGTGTATGTTTGGCTTTTGAGAAAGGATCTAATCGACTTCCTCCATCCTAATTTGCATAAAATATCAGGGGCATATACTAAGCACTCGGGCACAAAATTAGTAGGAGTGAAGTGTTCAAAAACGACTAGCCCGACAATATTTTTGGTTGTTCACATAGAAGTCCCAGTGGGTTCAATCGTTGGCATATAACTCGGTTGGTTCTTAGATGTTCATCTGAAAATTTTTGAACACTTTTATTTTTTCTTAGTTAGCCAAGTAAAGCTTCATGCGAATTATAAATTCGGTTCATTGTTATTTTTATCCTCAAATGATTATGTTGGAATATATGCAAAGTCTCTCGGGTACAAAGTCCACTGAAGTAAAGTGTTTGTTCGGGTTGTGATGTAACCGGGAAATTTCGTCCGATTTGAGCCCCAGACGAGTTTAATATGATTTTTATTATGTTTGGGAGTTACCCCAATGTGGCTAACTATTTCTTTCAGAGCCCCTTTGTTGCGAAGGCGGGGTTGACCGAAAAATGATGCCCAAGGCTACAAGTGCACTTAGACTTAAGTTTGGAAAAAAAGATTTTTGATAGAGGAATAATCCGACTTAGCAATGAAGTTTACTTGGTCATGGGACCGAGGAGTGTGGACTTGGATCCAATAAAGAACTCTACTCGTATACGAGGAGTGTCAATTTCAAGGTACTAGAATAATTTATGAGGAGTGTCAGACTACGACCCTTTAAGAAGGGGAATGTTAAATAAAGTACTCGACTCTTTTATGAGGAGTGTCAGACTACGATCCTTTAAGAAAGGGAGTGTTAAATAAAATACTCGATTCTTTTATGATGAGTGTCAGACTATGACCCTTAAAAAAGGGAAGTGTTAAATAAAGTACTTGACTATTTACGAGGAGTGTCTGACTACGACCCTTTAAGAAGGGGAGTGTTAAATAAAGTAGTCAACTCTTTACGAGGAGTGTCACACTACGATCCTTTAAGAACGAGAGTGTTAAATAAAGTAGTTGACTTTTTCCGAGGAGTATCAGACTACGACCCTTTAAGAAAGGGAGTGTTAAATAAAGTACTCGACTCTTTACGAACAGTGTTAGACTACAGTCCTTTAATAAGGGGAGTGTTAAATAAAGTACTCGATTCTTTACGAGGAGTGTCAGACTACGTCCTTTTAAGAAGGAGATTGTTAAATAAAGTACCCGACCAAAGCCGGTTGTGCCTGAGGCTTCAAGTGTGGTTGGGCTTCACTTTTGTAGGAGAACAAGTCTTTATCCAGACTTTGTACCTGAAATACGGATTAAGAGATTTCAGTTGGTTAGTAATAATTTGAAGACATTGTCTAGTTTTGCTCATATCTTTTCCCAAATGAGATAAGTGGATTTTTTCCTCCATGATTTAAGGTTTGTGGCGTCTCGGTTTCTTCTTAGCATAGTGTGTGTCGACTCCTTTTTGAGAGAGAAATTTCTTCATCATAAGATCTTATGATGTTTCGAGCTCATCCAGCCCTATTTAAAAGCTAAAAAGGTAGGGTGACTCCCACTTATGTAGGAGATATGG